AGAAAAAACAAGGAAGCACAGAGCAATCAACAAAAAAAGTCCAAGAGTCCACAGTAAAAGTTTCTGTCGCACTTTTTTCAGTAAATCACAAGTTCAACAAAGTAATTCCATTAAAGTCCCGTAACTTTGTCTCAGACAAGACCCCAACTTTGTATCCAGTCTAAACTGACAGTTCACTTTGCCGGTGCCTTACTCAGGCAGTCCGTCCTGGGGGTTTGGCAATGGAAGATGTTTTTTTCCTCATTTAATTTCAAGCAGGTTAACAGTGTCCAATTTTCTTCCCCCTCTCCTGCGTACTGGGGGGGAGGTTTAAGTCAACTGTCAGGATTGACAGCTTAAAGGTAATTTTCTTTCAAATGCAGCTTTACTCTTTCGTTGCTTTACTTGCCATGCAGATCGGGAGGCAGACTTCCTTAATTTATGCCTTTCCCGTTTTCAGCCAAATTTCAAGATTTAAATTTAAATGTCCCTTTCAGTCCCTCCGTCTTACTCACGGGCTTTAGAGTCGAATTTCTGGTTCAGGAAGGAATCGGCGCTCTCCGCTCATGGCGACGCGGCTTCACTCCACGGGCTGGGTTGCGACTCTCAGCACCGCGCTCACCCCGATGCCGCTCCGTAGCCTTTAAAAAGGCTCTTTCACAGTACCGGGGGCGCAAAGGTGCCCCCCGAGTCTCCTTGTTCACAGGCTTCCGCGCCTGTGATTTTAGGGGTCCCCCGCTCGCCGTAGCAGGTCAGACCCGAACTCGCGGAGCAGTCCTCCTCCGGAGCTCGAAGAGAGGACCGCCATTAAGCGCTGGCGCCGACCGGAAGTCCGGAAGCAGTCTTTGTTCTTGTCCATTTCCTGCTATGCTGCATTCTCCAGATAGACTACCCATCACATCTTTCTAACAGCTGCACTATATCTAATAACTCATAAGATGCAGCAGTGTTATTTGGGGATTTTTTTTATTATTATCCCATATGTGCAGCGAATACCAAGAGACACTTCTGTTTCCAACCAGGTTTCCCCCTTCTTTGGGTGCTGTAGTAATGCATTCCAAAAGTTCCACATCCATCACCTTGCGTCAGTCCTGCACACTCTTCCTTGCCTTGCTGTTTCCATGAACATATGGCCAAAGCTGTGAGCCTGCTTGCTGGTAGGATAATTTATACCAGCACCTGGTAGGAATGGAGCTTGCAACAGCTTGCTAATCTTTTGTTACAACAGCAAGTTATAGATGATGTTGGGTACCCTGATGAGGAATGAAGAAGCAATTGATTGCCAAATGGTGTGTCGGGGCACACCATTCTTCTGTGAATGGGAACTTGAAAAATTAAATCTCTTCCATTCATTGAGGATGATGCCTCAAGCACAATTGATGCCCCTTCTCCTCACCAGGGCAGGGATATTCTCCCCACAGAGGGAATCTGGGTGCACTGGAAATCCTTCATGAAGCATGTGTTAAGAGATGATGGACATGGAAGAATCCCTGAAGTACTATCAATAAAGAGAAACCATGGTCTCATTTCACTGATCCCTGACTGGATAAACAAAGGAGAAGGCAAAATATTCACTACTGATGAACCAAAACACATTTCTCTCTTGAAAAACACATCTTTTTGAAAAGAACAAAATTTGACCATTTGCTGTTGATAGGTAAAAGGTAAGAACCCCTGGATGGTTAAGTCTAGTCAAAGGCAACTGTGGGATTGTGGCACTCATCTCGCTTTCAGGCCTAGGGAGCCGGCATTTGTCCACAGACAGCTTTCCGGCTCATGTGGCCAGCATGACTAAACCATTTTTAGTGCAACGGAACACCGTGACGTAAGCCAGAGTGCACAGAAATGCCGGTTACCTTCCCACCACAGTGGTACCTATTTATCTACTTGTTCTGATATGCTTTCAAACTACTAGGTTGGCAGGAGCTGGGACAGAGCAATGGGAGCTCACCTCGTTGCAGGGATTCAAACCGCCAACCTTCTGATCGGCAACCCCAAGAGGCTCAGTGGTTTAGACCACAGCACCACCCTCATCCATATTTGCTGTTGATATATGCAGTTCATCATCCACACCACCCAGTGGCGGGGGAAGGGGGTGCAGGGGGTGTGGTCTGCGGGTGTGGTCTGCCCCGAGTGTCAGTACTGGGGGTGTGTGTGTGTGACAAAATGAGCTTTTTAAATAAAAAAAATGGGCTCATGAAACTTTTTAGGAGTAATGTGGTGGCTTAGGCGCCTGCAGATTCTGCAGTGCCTGAAATGGCAGTGTGGGACTTGCGTCTGCCTACTGCCTCTCCCTCAGCCACCTATAGCTGTGGGGGGAGGCAGCGGAGAGGCTCCAAGCATCAGAAAGGCTTGACCCGTCCCCGGCTGCACAACATGCCCCTGCACCAGGTACCTGAGCGGCTAGCTACGCCGCTGACACCAGCATCACCATTTGAATTTATCTTCCACCCTTCTTCCCAGTGGAGCTCAGGGTAGCAAACAAGAA